AGTAATGATTGAGGGCGTGGTCTGCAGTGAGGGGGCGTGGCTAGTATTGATTGAGGGCGTGGTCTGCAGTGAGGGGGCGTGGCTAGTATTGATTGAGGGCGTGGTCTGCAGTGAGGGGGCGTGGCTAGTAATGATTGAGGGCGTGGTCTGCAGTGAGGGGGCGTGGCTAGTATTGATTGAGGGCGTGGTCTGCAGTGAGGGGGCGTGGCTAGTAATGATTGAGGGCGTGGTCTGTAGCGAGGGGGGCGTGGCTAGTAATGATTTGAGGGTGTGGCCAGCAGCGAGGGGCGTGGCTAGTAATGATTGAGGGCGTGGTCTGTAGCGAGGGGGCGTGGCTAGTAATAATTTGAGGGTGTGGCCAGCAGCGAGGGGCGTGGCTAGTATTGATGAGGGACGTGGCTGCAACCCGCGCCCCCCAGAATGTGCTGCTCTGGGAAGAAGCCTTATCATTATTGTTGTTGTTCTGCTTGCACAGCTTCGTCTTTTGGTGATTTGATTTGGTTCTTGGTTTGTGCTGCAGGTCATGACATGTTGGTCAGATCAATCCGCCTGTTGATCTGCTGATAAATCAGATCAATGTTTGCAGCCTCTGTTTTTACTACCAGACAGCAAACACCTTTTTAAACACGTTTGACAAGCAGCATATGGCTCGGCTCGGCTATTGTTGCGTTGCCATGACAACAGCGGCTAAGTGCGCATATCCATTGAAACGATTGAGAAGCTGCTCCTCAGTCGGGTTGCCAGGTTGGAGGCGTCGTCCTGAAATCCAGCGGAGAGAATATGACTGATGAACTAATGCAAGGAGGAGAACCGCCTCAGGGACAAAACATTCCTGGTTATTATAAAGTATTATAAATTAAAAGATACCAAAACGTTTCTGTAAAATGTCACAAAATGCAGGCCATGAATATCGTTATGGAAATGTGTAATTGGGAGAAACAAAATTATAATTAATCAGAAATAATTACTTTGTTTCTCCCAATTACCATCAGCCATGATTGTGTCTTATTTAAGTAAGATCAGATTTGAACCATTTTTAGTTCAGTTTCTACTGTTTTTATTTTTTATTTATATTTGGTATTTTGACCAAAATCCTCCTGGAAAAATCATTTCAATCATGAGACGCTTTAAAAGCTTTTATTGAACATATTTATGCTCAGTCAAGACTTTGATATTAATATAAATGCCTGTTTTACTTGGGATCTCTGAAAGTGTGGAAAGGTTTAATGTAGTCTCTTCTGTCGGTGCTGAGATATCGATATAGATATCGATATATTTGGTTTGTATCATATTTTTCGGTCCGTTGTCAGAATGTGACGCAGAACCGATAAATAAGGTCAAGGACTTCATGAAGCCGACATTTTGATTCCTCACAGCGACTTTGGAGTCTAAATTCAAGGATGCCGAAGGTAAAAGCAAATAAATACAAATGTTCAGTGGTTGTGTTATTAATCCTCATAATTCATGTACTCATCCTCGGGAAAAGTTTTCACAAAGTACTGCAACTTCCACCGGCATAAAGAAGATTATGGAACTGGGGGTCATTTCCAGAGCTGTAAGTAAAATAACAACAAACTTTCTTTTACACATGAATATGGTGATGATGAAGTCCTGGCCAATATTTAGCTAGCAGTAGCAAACTATGAGCTTTTGGAAGTCAGCAAAAAAAGACCAAAATATAATTTGAGTCTTGTTTTATTCTCAATGTCTTCCAATCTAAACCAAAGATAGATCAAGTAAAACCTCGCCTCACCTCTCCCCTTCACAATAAGAGCATGCATTCAGGTGTTAGCACTAATGTTAGCATTAGTGCTAGCTGTTAGCTGCTTGAGGACAAACTGTGTGATTTTATAGTATTATTATAAACAATTTGGCTGCTTTGTCTCGGGGAACACGTGACTGATGATCCAGAATAATTGACATTGTTGTTGCTAACTGGTTAGCTGTACTGAGACCTTTTTAACAAGACCAGATCCAGATTGTGCTGAATTAGTTTTTATATCTTAAATGGTCTGTTTCAGTCTAAATATTGCACTTAACGATTATTCCATTGTGAAATTAGTTGAAGATTATTTACATAACTGATTAACCCAATTGTTTTGGTTGTACTGATATAGACCTGAACTAAATTATTTAAATGCAAAAGAGCAGGATTTAAGAGTATGAAATAAACAAGATGGTGGTTCTTATCCTCTGAACTCGGGTCCTCTACCAGAGGATATATAGATCTATATATATAGATCTATATACATAGATCTATATATATAGATCTATATATATAGATCTATATATGGTCCTCTACCAGAGGCCTGGGAGCTTGAGGGTCCTGCAGTATCTTGGCTGTGCCAAGGACTGCTGCACATTTCTGGACTGAGATGTCTGATGTTGTTCCTGGGATCTGTTGTAGCCACTGCTCCAGTTTGGGGGTTACTGCCCGAGGGCCCCGATGACCACAGGCACCACTGTGGTCTTCACCTTCCAGGCCCTCTCCAGTTCCTCCCTGAGGCCTGGTATTTCTCCAGTTTCTCCTTTTTCCTGATGTTGCAATCACTTGGTATTGCTACATCTACCACAACGGCTTTCTCTGATGTTTATCCACTACAACTATATGACTATATGACTATATATATATATATATATATATATATATATATATATGTGTGTGTGTGTGTGTGTGTGTATGTATGCACACCTTTTGTCAATGTTTTCCACAAAACTTAAGAAATAAAAGCAGAGAAATTCTACTGCAGTTAAACCGTTTTATTGTACAACATAAAAATTGTTTCCATTTTTAAATACAGACAAAGAAAAGACAACTAGAGATCTGGAGCTTCCCAGAAGCTAAAAAAAACATAAACAGTGATATAAAAACATTAAAAACACTGGAAGTCATAAAGATTAGTCATGTTTCAGGGAAGAATGTAGTGCTTCAGTATTATGTGGCAAATTAATCAAATCTGATCAAAGATTCTAATAATCAGTTAAAACAATTGATGTGACCAAACATAATACGTACATCATCCGTAATACGTTCAGTAATAGTCAAGTACAGCAGGACTCAAGTGATGGAAATGACAAAAAGCTTTAAAAAAAAAAAATTCTCCCTGAAGGTGGCGCTTATTTTCTAATAAACTTCAAACATCTAGAGTGGCTGCAAAAATTCACCGTCAAATCTCTCCCTTAAAACAGAGAATCTCCTTACTGTAGTGATGATGAGACAAAAACACGCTGAACCTTCCAGCATAAAGAACATATTTCTCACAGTTCACAAAACCTACAGGAAAATTTCACATCTGACTTCGCATCACAACATGGAACAAAACGCTGCTGATGGATCGCTATCCATCCCGATTCATTTCATCCATTGATCAGGACGGGAGGCGTTAGGGCGTTCCAAGGCTACTCCTCCAAACGGAAACCAGCGAATCCGATGCCGACGGGAAATAAGTGCTGAGAAACGGACTGAAGACAATGTGGCTTCAGCAAACATGAAAACAACGGCTCCAGCATGGACAACAGGAAGTCAGCTTCATTCTGCCGCCTTTGCATAGCTGCTGGGTCTATCGGGGTGAAAGGAAGCTGCGGTTCGGCCTGAACGGGAAACTGATGCGTGTTCAATTAAAGTTTCGTTTTCCTCCCCACAGAAAGGATTGTTGGCAGGATCACGGTTTTCTCTTTCCACCTGATAAATCTGGTTTCTGTGTCGCTTCCTGTTCAGCCAGGAGAACCGTCTGGTTTCTTCCCACTGTCGCCTCAAAATGTTTAACTGCAGTTAACTTGGGTGGGTTTCATGTCATTTGTAGTAATTTGGAGCCGACTGAACAGAAACAGATCCAGAGATGAACTGAAAACATTTGTAGCCCCAAAACGTTCAAATGTTTGTCTGAAACGCGGCGTGGAAAAGCCAGAATAAAACCCCAAAATGGGAGAAAATCTGGGCGACAATAAAGTCAAATTATTGTCAGAATGAAGTCGTTTTCTAACAAAAACATCTCAAGAAGGAATGTTGAGCATGTTGTTTTTACAGATATGAAATATCTCAGCATCAGATCATCGTTGTAGCAGAACGTTGCCGCTGTCCTCAGATTACAGAGGAAAAATAACTTTTCTGGTCGTTTTATGACTTATTGTGTTTTTAATCTGCTAATCCTTTTATTAAAAATGGTCCCCGTCTGGCCCCAACACTCTGCCGTTCTCATGTTTCTGTTTTAACCACAGCAAACTAAAATGTTGGAGGAAACAGGAAGCAGATTTAAAGGCTCACATTGTAAAATCCTGTCAGTCTGAATAGAAAACAGTCAAAAGCCGCGCTGCGTTCTGGTTCTGGTCCTGGTTCTGGTCCTGGTTCTGGTCCTGGTTCTGGTTCGGGTCAGGTCATGGTTCTGGTCATGGTTCTGGTTCTGGTCCTAGTTCTGTTTCGGGTCAGGTCCTGGTCCTGGTTCTGGTTCGGGTCAGGTCATGGTTCTGGTCCTGGTTCTGGTTCTGGTGCTGGTCCTGGTTCTGGTCCTGGTTCTGGTTCGGGTGCTGGTCCTGGTTCTGGTCCTGGTTCTGGTCTGGTTCTGGTTCGGGTCAGGTCATGGTTCGGTCCTGGTCTGGTCCTGGTGGTTCTGGTCCTGGTCCTGTTTCGGGTCATGGTTCTGGTTCTGGTCCTGGTTCTGGTCCAGGTCCTGGTCCTGGTCCTGGTCCTGGTTCTGGTTCTGGTCCTAGTTCTGGTTCTGGTCATGGTTCTGGTCCTGGTTCTGGTTCTGGTCCTGGTCCTGGTTCTGGTCCTGGTCCTGTTTCGGGTCATGGTTCTGGTCCTGGTCCTGGTTCTGGTCCAGGTCCAGGTCCTGGTTCTGGTCCAGGTCCTGGTCCTGGTCCTGGTTCTGGTTCTGGTCCTAGTCCTGGTTCTGGTTCTGGTCCTAGTTCTGGTTCTGGTCCTGGTCCTGGTTCTGGTCCTGGTCCTGGTTCTGGTTCTGGTCCTAGTTCTGGTTCTGGTCCTGGTCCTGGTTCTGGTCCAGGTCCAGGTTCTGGTCCTGGTTCTGGTTCCGCTCCACCTTTCACCACCAGGTGATCTTGAACTCGTAGATGGGCCTCTTGCAGTAGTAGTGGTTGATGAGGTGCTTGTCGCAGACGCCGATGCACTGCTGCTCTGCGGCGATGCCGCGCCGCGCCAGGTCGCCCACGATGCAGTGCAGCAGGTCGTAGACGTCGGCCACGGCCTCCCACGGCCCGAACGACACGTCCACGTCGCAGTGGTGCTCGAACAGCTTGGCGTCGCCGTCGGCGCGCTCGAAGCGCAGCGAGTTGAAGAGCGGCCGCTCGTACGGCGTGATGGGCGTCTCCTCCTTGTAGACGCACACCTTGAGCTTGGCGAAGCGCGCCTTCTTCTGCATCGCCGCAGCTTGGCGATCTCCACGATGCGCTCCAGATTGTCTGAAATCACAGCGGTTCAGTCTAAACACGTCAATGTTCGGTAACTTTTATCAGAAACACGCTCAGCAGCTAAAGGCTAAATATAAAAACATAAACATAGTAACTGATAACGCTGCCTTGCTATGGCTACACATCATTACAACTACAGGAGCAGCTTCTGCAGCCAGAGCCTGTAATAATACTGTAACTAATACTTATCATCTTAGCTCTCATCATGTAATAATCATTGATAATAACAGATTCATCTGCTTAAAGCCAGATTTTCCTCTGGCTAATGGTGATTTTACCCAGAATCCTCGGCTCATCTTTGCTATAAATAAAGGATTTTTAAAAAAGTTTTTCTGCGTGAAGCTCGAATGGCTTCACTGTTCATGGCAGCTGGAGGTTTCTACATTGTAAAAGAGCAAACATGCTAATGGTTTAACGACGGCTGTGTAGCCTACATGACCACTGTTAGCTTAGCTTAGCTGCCTGGCTTTTCCTTAGTTTTTAAAGTGAATCTGATGTGTTAAGGCTTTCATTTTAGACACATGAATTTAAGACTTTTTAAGGATTCATGGTCACCCTGTAGCAGAGAGCCACCCAGAAGACAGAAGTACGCCACACTTTTCAGACATTTAGACCAACTGTAGCCATGAAGGCCGCTTTGACGTGTCACTATTGTGAAGCTAGTCGCTCGCCATGTTAGCAAAGCTAGCGGCTAGCCGTGTTAGCAAAGCTAGCTGTGTTAGCAAAGCTAGCGGCTAGCCATGTTAGCAAAGCTAGCTGTGTTAGCAAAGCTAGCGACTAGCCGTGTTAGCAAAGCTAGCTGTGTTAGCAAAGCTAGCGGCTAGCCGTGTTAGCAAAGCTAGCTGTGTTAGCAAAGCTAGCTGTGTTAGCAAAGCTAGCGACTAGCCGTGTTAGCAAAGCTAGCTGTGTTAGCAAAGCTAGCGGCTATCCGTGTTAGCGTCAGACCTCTGTAGTAGGGCAGCAGGTCGAGGAAGGCCTGCCGGACCTTCTCCCCGGTCAGAGGCTGCGTCTCCTCCAGCCGGTCCAGCAGCGGCCCGATGGCGTAGTACTGCGCCTCCTGGTGGACAGACCGGACCCGGTCCCGCTGCGGCAGCTCGCCTTCCCGCAGGAAGTTCAGGATGTCCCTTCAGACGGAAGAAAATCCCTCAGTCAGGGAAACGGAACAAAAACAGGTCAAATAAAACCCCAAGGAAACAGTACATACATTAAAATTAATAAAGGAGGGTTCAATTTTTTTAGTAATCACATTAAAAGTCAATTCTGATTCTTAATATTTAATTTGAGGTCTGAAATGACTCAACTGGCTTCTGGTAGTTTTAAAGTTTGTCAAAAAATAAAAAAAGGTTTTCAACTCTGCTTCTTGTAAAACTGAGCTACCAAATTTCCATTTTGGCTGATTTCTGTTTTTAGAGACTAAATGAAATATAAAGTCTTGTTCAGCTGAAACCAGAAGTTTACATACATCAAATAAAAAACATTTTCTGTCAATTGGACGTCTTTTATTCTAGAATTCAAAGGTTTGACACAAGTCATGTAGTCCAAAATTAAAAATTGATCAAAGACATTAATAATTAAACCTGACATATTCCCTCTCTTGGGATTTTGGTGTTTAGCAAATATAGATATTTGTGATTCTAACTGAACTAAAACAGGAGAAATCTGGTCTGATTAAACTTATTTAGTTCATAGTGATTCTAGTTAATAATAATTAACTGTATGATATAATAAGAAGTGCACCATGACTTCATTTTGATTCATCTGCAACAGATCTACGACATAAAACCATTTTCCTCAGTCACTTAAAAGTTAATGTTGAAACAGTAAAAGTAAAGAAGTTAAAAACTATTTAAAGAATTCAAAGAATTGAAAAGGTAATCATAAAAAAAGTTGTTTTTTAAAGAGACTAACTGTTTAAAACTAAGAGGGGAGATTTTTAATCTGGTCCTTTACCGCCTCCTTGCGGCCGCTTCACCACATTGCATCTTTGATCAGGACGCTGTGTAAACCAAAAATTGTGACATCATAATTATGCCAAAAGCTTTGTTTGTAATTTGCAGAAATTGTCCAAAGTGTTTTTATTTCATCAGGAATCTCAGTCAAGTTCTGAGAAACATGAACATGTTTTGTCTGTTGTTCCTGGTTTCATTTCCCGCTTCATGCAGAAATCCCCGGCGGTGACGTCACTGGAGCCACGCTGCCGCAGCCCTTCTCAATGACCGGCCCATGAATTTAACGAGCTGCCTCTCAGAGAACATTTCATTTTCACAAACTAAAACTTTCTTCAACACGATGCCGCCGTTTGAGCCGGCCCCGCTCGGAACCGGCCGGCCCCGCTCGGACTCACCCAAAGTAAGCGCCGTCCCGGTCGATGAAGTAGCGGCCCTCGGCGTCCCGCGGGATGTAGTGGCGGCCGCTGAACATGGCGGCCAGCATGGTGTCGTCATAGCGGCGCAGCGTGGACAGGCGCGTGGTGAAGAGCGTTCCGCCCACGTTCAGGGAGATCACCTCTGGAAACTGATCACAAACACAATTATTGATCAACCAAACAGAAGCAGCTTCCATAGCAACATTCATCCTTCTTCACTGTAAAACCTGAATCCCAACGAGCGTTATTGTTATTGTTCTTATTATATCATACAGTTTAGTTCAAATATGTGAGAAATAAACTAAAGTAAGTTTCAGGTTTTCATGAACATATAAAAGTCAATAATTCATTAATAACGAGGGAGAAATACCAGGATGAAGATTATTAAACAAAGACACTGATCTCATTATAAGGACTGCAAGTTGAACTCATTTTTTATTATTATGTTTCATTATTATTAATAATTATAGAGAAGCTGCTATATGCTACTAAAAGTTGCCTGTAAGTTGCTTTAGTTTTGTTTCAAGTGAATTCAGATATTAGAAAACAGACAAAAATACTTGGTAAGATTTTGTTCTTTGTTTTTTTGCTGTGAAATGATTAATTCAAGACTTCAGATGCAGATATTGATCATTTGAACTATTGAAATCTAAAGTTTCTCATGTTTTGTTTGTTATTTCCAGAGTAATGCACGGTGGGGTATTATTATTTCTTTTTATCAATAAAATTGCTCCACCTGCTTAAATCTAAAACAATCTATTTTAAACAGCAACAAAAATTTATGAAATGTGTTTTTCGGTTTTTGCCATACATGCCAAATATTTATGCATATTCTGAGATTTTAACCGTTTAAATGACAGTTTTCTCCTTAAAAGTTGCTTTTTAGTTCTAGAAAAAAAAGATTGTTTTCCTCTCAACCCAAAAATCTACTTTGTGAGGTTTAATCTGAGCCTGGACGTCAGAGAGCCCAGCGCCTGACCCGCTGACCTCTGGCTTCATCTCCAGACACCATACATATTTCTATTGCTGCTCCGACTGCAAAGCGGCTGAACAGGAAGTGGCTTCAAACACCAAGCTTTGCTCACAACCCAACAGAGACGCTGATTTGGACCATTTCAGGTCCAAACATCCAGACTCTTCAGACATCAAAGCTCAGAGTCCAACAGCAGAATCAGCCGGAGCCAAACGTTACATTTGGTCTGTCCAGCCTCCACAGCAGCAGCTCCTTCACACTGTTTCACGTTTAGAAGCTCATTTTAGGGGGATATTTTTCTATCAAAATGGAATAATTGAAATACTAATTTACACAGAAGTGATTGATTTTTTACATTTAAATACCAGTTTAGTGTTGCTGCAGATCTGGAAAACTAAGACAAAGAGGATCAACCAACAAAAACTGTTAGAGGTGATAAATAATCCATCCACGCTCCCCTCTCTGGATTAATAATCAATCCAATTATTCATCTCATGGGAATTTTAATCAATCTAATCATCCAATAGGAAAAAATTATTAATCCATCTGTCAATTTAGTGGAAATCCATTTATATAGCGGGATTATAATAATCTATGCATCATCTGGCCTAAACATTCCTTCTGACAGTAAACTGACAGGATTTCTGATCCAATCACAGATCTATAGATCAATAATGGTGGAAGCTGCTAATGGCGCAGCAGAGACTTGGGTTCAATGGGTTTGAATAGAAATAAGACGCTTAAACTAAGACCCACATAACTCGGTTCCCACAGCGACTCGGTTCCCACAGTGACTCGGTTCCCACAGTGACTCGGTTCCCACAGTGACTGGGTTCCCACAGCGACTCGGTTCCCACAGCGACTCGGTTCCCACAGCGACTGGTTCCCATCCAATCACAGCGACACGGTTCCCACAGCGACACGGTTCCCACAGCGACTGGGTTCCCATCCAATCACAGCGACACGGTTCCCACAGCGACTCGGTTCCCACAGCGACACGGTTCCCACAGTGACTGGGTTCCCACAGCGACTGGGTTCCCACACCGACTCGGTTCCCACACCGACTCGGTTCCCACAGCGACTGGGTTCCCACAGCGACTGAGTTCCCACAGCGACTGAGTTCCCACAGCGACTTGGTTCCCACAGCGACTGGGTTCCCACAGCGACTTGGTTCCCACAGTGACTCGGTTCCCACAGCGACTCGGTTCCCACAGCGACTGAGTTCCCACAGCGACTTGGTTCCCACAGCGACTGGGTTCCCACAGCGACTTGGTTCCCACAGCGACTCGGTTCCCACAGCGACTCGGTTCCCACAGCGACTCGGTTCTCACAGCGACTGAGTTCCCACAGCGACTTGGTTCCCACAGCGACTGGGTTCCCACAGCGACTGGGTTCCCACAGCGACTGGGTTCCCACAGCGACTTGGTTCCCACAGCGACTGGGTTCCCACAGCGACTTGGTTCCCACAGCGACTCGGTTCCCACAGCGACTCGGTTCCCACAGCGACTGAGTTCCCACAGCGACTTGGTTCCCACAGCGACTGGGTTCCCACAGCGACTGAGTTCCCACAGCGACTGAGTTCCCACAGCGACTTGGTTCCACAGCGACTGGGTTCCCACAGCGACTTGGTTCCCACAGCGACTCGGTTCCCACAGCGACACGGTTCCCACAGTGACTGGGTTCCCACAGCGACTCGGTTCCCACAGCGACTCGGTTCCCACAGCGACTGGGTTCCCATCCAATCACAGCGACACGGTTCCCACAGCGACACGGTTCCCACAGCGACTGGGTTCCCATCCAATCACAGCGACACGGTTCCCACAGCGACTCGGTTCCCACAGCGACACGGTTCCCACAGTGACTGGGTTCCCACAGCGACTGGGTTCCCACACCGACTCGGTTCCCACACCGACTCGGTTCCACAGCGACTGGGTTCCCACAGCGACTGAGTTCCCACAGCGACTGAGTTCCCACAGCGACTTGGTTCCCACAGCGACTGGGTTCCCACAGCGACTTGGTTCCCACAGTGACTCGGTTCCCACAGCGACTCGGTTCCCACAGCGACTGAGTTCCCACAGCGACTTGGTTCCCACAGCGACTGGGTTCCCACAGCGACTTGGTTCCCACAGCGACTCGGTTCCCACAGCGACTCGGTTCCCACAGCGACTCGGTTCTCACAGCGACTGAGTTCCCACAGCGACTTGGTTCCCACAGCGACTGGGTTCCCACAGCGACTGGGTTCCCACAGCGACTGGGTTCCCACAGCGACTTGGTTCCCACAGCGACTGGGTTCCCACAGCGACTTGGTTCCCACAGCGACTCGGTTCCCACAGCGACTCGGTTCCCACAGCGACTGAGTTCCCACAGCGACTTGGTTCCCACAGCGACTGGGTTCCCACAGCGACTGAGTTCCCACAGCGACTGAGTTCCCACAGCGACTTGGTTCCCACAGCGACTGGGTTCCCACAGCGACTTGGTTCCCACAGCGACTCGGTTCCCACAGCGACTCGGTTCTCACAGCGACTCGGTTCCCACAGCGACTCGGTTCTCACAGCGACTGAGTTCCCACAGCGACTTGGTTCCCACAGCGACTGGGTTCCCACAGCGACTTGGTTCCCACAGTGACTCGGTTCCCACAGCGACTGGGTTCCCACAACGACTCGGTTCCCACAGCGACTCGGTTCCCACAGCGACTGGGTTCCCATCCAATCACAGCGACACGGTTCCCACAGCGACTCGGTTCCCACAGCGACACGGTTCCCACAGCGACTCGGTTCCCACAGTGACTCGGTCCCACAGCGACTCGGTTCCCACAGTGACTCGGTTCCCACAGCGACTCGGTTCCCACAGTGACTCGGTTCCCACAGCGACTCGGTTCCCACAGCGACACGGTTCCCACAGCGACTTGGTTCCCACAGTGATTCGGTTCCCAGCCAATCACAGCGCGGCTCGGCGGCTTAGCCAACCACAGACCGCAGAGTAAATCTCCACCAACAGTGAAAGTGAGGGGTTAATGGAGATGTAATGTGTTTAATGGCTGCCGGGTCTCCTGCTGCCTCTGGACACATTTTAGTGGTTTGTTTAATTGAAGCCTGTTCGCGCGGCGCCATTAGTTGTTAATCAGTGGATCAATAATGCTCCACTGATTAACAATGGTGACTCCGTGAAGCGGCCTACCCACCTCCTGCGGCTCCGTGGCGGTCAGCGCGGCGCGGAGCGGCTTACTCGGCGCGCGGTGCTTCGGGGACGGGGAGGCCGGCGGCTTGCGGACGCCGTCGCCCTCCTCTGTTGGGTCCGAGCTGGACATGGCATCGCTCGGTTTGTCCGCGTCGCCAGCGGCCGAGAACACCACCATCACTTTGGGCAGCGGGGAGTCCTCTGTCGCTCCTGAATGAAGCGCCTCACCCGCGTAGTGGCGGCGGGCAGCGGGCTGAAGGACCGAGCCTGCCGCTCCTGCCGCCGTCAGAGCCGATGGAGCCGCTCGAGCCATTCTGCTGCATGCACGCGGCCGACGGGGCCAGCTGTCGCGGACAGGGAGACGTCTGGAGCCGCGGGACCGGCAGCGGGTCTCCCGGGACAACAACAACCAGAGGGTGTGGCTGGAGCTCAGCCCGCCACCCCCACAGGCGAAGCGAAAGCGGGAAATGACGCCTCCAGTGACCGAAAGCCTTCACAGCATCGCAGTTCTATGAAGGATCCGTCCAGTCGCTCGGCTACGTCAGCGTTGGAACGAACGTGGCGTGACGTAGGAGCGAACGTTAACGTCCGTACGTGAAGTTTAAAAGGACAGATACCTTTGAATTATCTGCATATTATTGATGCATACTGATGACGATAATAACTGTTATGACACCATAAAAGCTCATTAAAAGTACAAACAATAAAATCACAGTGGCGGTTCTTGTATTAATGGCGCCTTGGGCTCTGCAGCCCCGACTCTATATGTTTACATATAACAATTATTAAAAATATGTTTTCAAATTACATATAAATATGTGGCAAAACTAGAATTTTGTCATTGGGGTGGAAGGGACATGAGAATGACAACACACACACACACACACACACACACCACACACACACACCTATCTAGATATATGTACAGAAATATATATGCAGTTGTATCTGCAGCACATAGACATTTTTTGATCAGAATAATTCAAAATCAATATACTAATTGATGGCTAAAATGATTGTGAACAGCCCAATCCTTGCTTTAATTGCTGTTCTTATTCTTGGCTTTAAGCTAGACAGAAACAAATGTGAAGATGTTGACAGGCCTGTTCATAACGGCCATTTTGGTTGGTTTTATTAAAAACAAACCTTTTTGTTCAGACGATTCCTTAAAGTCCTCAAAGTCTGTGATCAAGACATTTCAATGTATTGATCACTTTTTTCTGTTTTCTGATTTTACTCGTTTTTGCTGAAAGTATTTCTCTAGTTTTTGGTTTTTATGAAGTAGAAACAAACAACTCATGTCAGTCTGTTTCTTTTTGGAGACGTTTCTCTGTCTGGTCATGTCGTGTTTTTCCTTTTCCATCTCTTTGGCGGTTTCAGTCTGAGCTCATTCTTTTAGTCCAAAGTTTGCTTTTATTTTTCTGCTGAAGCTTCTGAAAATCAAAGTTTGTCCTGCAGACGCTGTCTCTCTTCTCGACCCCCATCTCATCTTTCTTCACTCCAAGATCAAAGCTTCTGGTTTCTCGTAAAAGTGTGTCATGTTCTGGGTCTGCGGGGAAAAGGCTGCTTGTCTGTTTCCCAGCCGTGTTTCACATTTTGTCACTTTAAAACAACAAACTTCAAAGCATTGCAGTCCACTTTATATGACCTACCGACAGAGTAATGCATCAATGTGAGATGGAAGGAAAACAATAATGTTATAATTAGTTTTACCAATAAATCAGAAAACTGACATGCATCAGTACTGACAGGAGCTCAGAAGGGACAATCTGCTGTCAAATTTTGTCATTGTTGAGAATCATTTTGCACATTTTTATTCCAACAGTTTTAACAGCTTCTGAAAACAGTCAAAGCACAAAAAACACCAGCTGTGTTTTAGTACTACATTTATGTTTTTAGTGTCTGGAAAACGAGCAGTTTTAGAAACGCTTTCACCAAATCAGGAGGAGCCCAGCCCGTCACCTAGCAACCCCGTAGGAGCCCAGCCCGTCACCTAGCAACCCCGTAGGAGCCCAGCCCGTCACCTAGCAACCCCGTAGGAGCCCAGCCCGTCACCTAGCAACCCCGTAGGAGCCCAGCCCGTCTAGCAACCCCGTAGGAGCCCAGCCCGTCACCTAGCAACCCCGTAGGAGCCCAGCCCGTCACCTAGCAACCCCGTAGGAGCCCAGCCCGTCACCTAGCAACCCCGTAGGAGCCCAGCCCGTCACCTAGCAACCCCGTAGGAGCCCAGCCCGTCACCTAGCAACCCAGTTGAAGTGATTGAGGTTTTTCATGTTAAAATCTTCAATGTTGGAATAAAAGCTGCTTTAGAGCAACATGGTCGTGTTCTGGCTCCGGTTTGCAGGACTGACTGTAAAATGAGTGAGAAGAAAAGCAAATGTAGACGACAAAGCCACCATATAAACATAAATATAAAGCGAGGCCCGGCGCCTGCAGCTCATCAGTTCACTCTGTGACCAGTGGAAACCGCAAAGCGACGGATGTGGGGAGACGCTGAGACAGGAAGCAGAGCTGACAGTCGACCTGCCAGCAAACAGAGAAGAATGAAGGCGGCTGGATCTCTGAAGGTAACACAGGAACCTTTTATATTTATATTTATATTTATATTTATATTGGTTGCTGTCAGTCTGACAGACTTTTGTTCACCTGCTCAGATGTTTGTCAGAAAAAATCAAATAAATATTCACATATCTTGAAAGTCTGTGTCTCAGATGAGAAGTACTTTCATTCTTGATGATTTTTCATCACTTTATTAATATTTAAGAGGACAAATAAAAAAATTAAGTTTTAGCAATATCATAGCTAAAACTATAAATACAACCATGGTTTTTTTAAATGATAATTAAACTAAAAGGCATAAAATAATATAAACATGTTAGTTTACATTGGTGATACTTTTATTGCTTACCAATAAAGCATTGGACAAATGGAGGGAAATAAACTAAACAAGAATAATAAAATAAAATCAACAAAATATGCAGAGCAGAAGCTGAAGCATTTATGATTTACAATATTCATTGACTTTTAAGAGAAATACAGGAGAGTCTGTCACACACACACACACACACACACACAACACACACACACACACACACACACACACACACACCACACATTTCTAATGCTGTGAAACTGGTAAGCATTTTATTTATGTCAGCCATGCAGATGACAGTAAATTTAGAGCTGCGTTCAGAGCTCCCACTCTGACAGGAACAAATATGGCCGCATCTAAAAGTGAGGTCAGATACAGTAATTTCATATTTAAAAACTTTCACCAGAACCCGAATAAAGAAAATCAAACAGACTTTAAGAAAATGATGATCAGCGAGTGAAAATCGCTGCTTCATGTTGTTTCGAACAGTTCACACAAAATCTGTGCTGAAGTTTTAAAACGTTTATTGATCAGCTTTATAACTTTATATATTCTATCAATTATTTCACAAAGAAAACTTTAAGAATATTTATTTGTAAAATAAGTAAATATTAACCCCAAAGTCTTTTTCTACTTTAACTTTAAACTGTGATGCTGTTTACATTCATTACATTTAATCTGGCTCAGTTTTCTGTCCCAAAAATAATCCAGAAATCATCTACAGCCAATTCCAGGCAATATTTTGATTGAATAAAGTTATTAATCATTTTACTGAAACTTCTTAAATCTGCTAATTAAACATCAGGAAAGTTATATTTAACTGATCTGAAATATTTAAAGTAAAACTAGATGTTGACCAATAACATGTGCAACTAGCTTACAGCATTTAGCTGGAGCTAAAGCAGCTTTTAATCTTCAAAATAAAATTGTATTTTATATCAAATGTATGAAGGTTGAAGTTTACCCTAAAAAACTGCACCAGCTTTTCGTGTCTGACATGAAATCAAACCTGCCGTCCTGGTTTGGGTCAGGTTGGCCTGGAAATATTTACATTTTCCAAACATCAGAATAACGAGACAAAAATAATATTTTGAAATAATATAACATATCAGGTTCAGCTTTATTTCTGAAGGGCATAAAATAAGATCAACAGCAAATAAACCCCATTGATGGATTGATTGATTGATCTGAAACTGACTTTTCTAAGAAAATCAGTCGTTTCAAGAAATCATCATGAGATCATTTTCATCCTGCCGTGTGATTTTCATCTGTAATCCATCGATCGATTCGTTTTCTGTACGTTAAATAGGAGAAAAGTTTTATCGGCCTGTCTACAAACTCATGGATCAGCATCTTCCTCATTCTTCAAGTGTCCAAACTTTGGTAGCTTTAATTCATAAATGATCTTTTGGGTGGTTTGCTGCTGCAGCTCAGGCGTCGGTCCGATTCAAACATTTCCACAGAAATCAGGACTTTGATTTTCTCGTCTTTAAGCTAAAATCTGATTAATTGATTAGTTATTGCTTATTTGAAAGATCAATTTTGTGTCCAGGTTTCAACTTTTTGGGATTTCATTATTTCCATTTTATGAAGCATCAGTTCTGTCAAATGTACGGAGCTCCATCATGGCCAAACGTTTAATCAGACTAAATGAATTTATTGTTTCTGTAATGAGGTTTTGTCCGTTTATTTCATCCATGATGGTTTGAGACTCGGCCAAAAGCTTTACCAGGTTTTCACTTCTGTTGTTGATGAACACATTTCTCACCAAAATTCAATATTTAGATATTCTTTTCTCTTTTACTATTAAAGGTTTTCAGATTGTTTAAATATCAGAATTTGTTATGACTTTCTGTTGCTGTATAAACTGGATATAGTTTGTCAGTTTTCAGGCTCAGGATTTAAAAGCCGTCTGAAGCTTTTGCCGAAATTAGGATCATTATTTTTTTAAGATCTGTTTAGCGGTAACCATTATTGCCATAAATTTGCAACTAATTGAACTTTTAAGCCAAATAATTAAGAATCAGTTTACGAAAGAAGCTTTAGTATTCCTGAAAACACAAAATTTTTCCAAGTATTTTTGTCCAGTTTTCACTGCAAATGTCTAAAAACTGTTTTAAAATACAGTTTTCAGAATATCCAAATAGAAAAGTTACTATTATTTCTTTTCAGAAAGAAATAATCATTTCTTTTGAGCCAAAAACTCCTGAATATTGATTAAAAATTTAAGTTGCTACGTCTGAGATATGTGTGTATGTGTGTGTGTGTGTGCGTGTGGTATGCGTGTGTGTGTGTGTGTGTGTGTGTGTGTGGGTGGTGTGTGTGTGTGTGTGTGGATGGCAGGTGTTTTCTGGGACCCAGTGAGCGCCGCCCCGCAGAGCCGCTCTCAGTCGTCTCTGATCCGACCACATCCTGTGAAGCTCTGCCTCGCTGACAGGAAGCCTGCTGGAC